TCTAACAAATACTGGGTTATATTATGTAGGAAAATACAATCTATTGCCTGTCATAAGTGGCCCAGTGATACAGGGGTAAGAGTGGTGCCCAGTTTTCTTGGAAAATTAACTGCTATATGCTAAGGATTGTTGTGATTTCTTGATTGTCAGGCAGTTAGCTGAACTTTGCCTCCCAGTTTTTGGTAAGGATTTGTTGTCTGTGCTTTGGTTCATATCTAGCTAAACCAGGAGTGTGTGCTACAGATATGTTTTGTTGCTCAGACAACAAGAGCAGAGTTTGCATGGGTGAAATCCCTCACAGTTATTAACTTAAATACATTTAGAGAGTAGGATTTGTTAAAATCAGACTTCATTTCATTAGAAAAATAAAGCAGTGAAAGGGAGAGCTTAGCCACTTGAAAGCAATCCTCAGCTCGAGGCATTGGCACATCTGAGGGTTGTCCCTGTCACCCAGTTAAATGACCCAGGCAGATGTCCCAGCCTTGACCCATTTCTGGAGTGAGCCTGTAAATCAGAAGCCTGAAATCCTTCAGTGTCTGAGGAGGCTTTAACAAGGTTATCTGCACATTGCTGAGGAGGCATTTCTGCTGTGTTTACCTGTCACTCAGGAACTAAATAAATTTTTCAACTGTTTTGTGTGAGTCTCTTAAACAGACATAGCATAGTTTTCTCATACAGCATAGTTTTCTCATCCTAAGCTCAAACCACTGCAAGAAGACAGTTTTTCCTTTTTCCCTGTATTACTGAGCACATACATTTTTCTGTTCCCTGTCTTTTGCTCAATAGCAAGGAGAGGACTGATGATTAACTCTATTTTCTTGATCACCTTACTTTTCTTTTACAGTCAGTGGAGGAGAACTTCAGACAAGATGAACTGTGCCCTAAATTATCCTTTTCTCTCTGAAGGCTGAAAAAGGAGCACAAGGCAGACAGCTCAGGTGTGTGAGTCAGAGGCTGAGGGAGAGGAATCTTCCTGCAAGTGTCTGACCATGGCATGGGTGAGGCAGCACAACCTGGCAATGTGGGCAGTGTGCTCCTGGGGAATCACCGTGCACAGTCCCTGTCTTAGCCCGCCTGCTCTGACCTCCAGCACATCTGCAGTAGCTGCAGCACTTATTGCACAGATTTTTACCTTCTCTAGATACTTGAAAATATGATAAACACTGTATATGCATTACTTAAGTTACTTGGCAACACAAAATAAATAGTAAGTACCATTATTTTTTTCATACATTCTTTATTTAATTCGTGCTCTACCATTCTCTTTAGAAGTGTGATAATAATAAAGTGCAGGAACAGTTCCAGTTTTTCTGATCTTATTATGTGTTACCTTTTCCACAGTGGAAATCAATATTGTAACTTGGCAATATATTGATTTATATAAATTTCATTACCATCATCCACTTAAACTGCGAGGTAGAATTAGTTGAATACTGGCATCCAGGAAGAGATTTTTCTTCCAGCGGATGACTTGTGAGATACTTGTGCAGATTTTACTGTAATCCATAGGGGTTCTGATTCCTGAGGAGAGATAGCATATTTTCAGTGATGGTTTGCAGGCTTTCTGTCCTCAGCATGGTGGGCTGATCTGCTCATAAACTGCCTACCATCCCAGTTTACAAAACAGTGTGTCAGATTGTAGGTCTGATTGATATCTGGTATAAATGCATTCTTTTCCAGTCTACAAGCCTATGACTTTTTTATACCAGATGAGAAACTGGCCAAATACTACCACCAGTCCAACAACTGAAAATGCAAAACCTTTCTGTTCCTGTTAAAAAGTCAAGACAACCACAACCAGAAATGCAGAAAGTATGAAGTTAAACCTGAATTGGAGGGGAGGGGACAGGAACTCAAGCTTTTGAATTTGAGGAAGACAGAAATAACTCTGATTTGTCCTGATTGACAAAAGATTATCATCTTTGCATCTGGCACACTGTAAACATTCATTATAGATACTGATTTTATGATACATTTCACATGGATGTGACTCAGCCAGCGAGTATGAGAATTTCTGTCTGTATTGACCTTTCTAATATTTACATGAAAAAATAGGAGGTAATGATGTGGGACACTTTGAGAAATGCTTCTCTGTGTCCCATGCTTAGATAATTGGTCAATGCATCTCCTTTTCCTCCCAAACATCTGCTCTCACTACAGCTGTTCAGGATATATCTCCTCTTCTCCATATTGCCACCCTTGCACATAATAAAAGCAATAAAAATGAGGATAGCAGGCAACTGGATCCAACTTAATGAAAAGTGAATTTATCCTCTCCCTTCTCAAAGTGAACCAATTCAAATTGTCATGAAGGTCACTTATTTTCTTTTCCCAAACTCTGTACATAGCAAAATAAAAATAAGACACCCCTTTCTGTCTGTAATCAATGTCTCTGTGTAATGTGTTTATTTGCATACAGCTGACCTGACTCATTTGAGTGCTGTGAATATTTTCCTTTTCTCATCAGTGATCTTTTTATGTTTTGAAGCTATTTTTTTTTCCTGTTAAGATTTGCTTAGTAGCTGTGCTAAGACTTTGCCCAGAGAGGCTGTGGAATCTCATCCTTGGAGGAATACAGACCTGTGCTGGAGGTGCTTGAATGGGTCTTGCTGTCAGCAGGTTCAGAGAGGCTGGATCACAGACCTGCTGGGGTCCCCTCCCACCAGGATTATCTCTGCCAGCTATTTGAGCTCTTAATAAATTTGCTATGGTCTAGACTTTACTTTGGTCTTCAGACATTTGAGTCAAGACTGGGATCTGGCTGGCACAGGCGCTATTCAGCACTGCTTACCCAAGTATTAAGAAGAAAAATGCTGTAATTGCCATAGATTTAAAAATACCGTAATTTTTCCAGCGGCTTTCTTTTCAGACCTGGAGATCTCTTTGAAAACATAACGAACTTCCAATGAATTTGCAGGAGCTGAGATGCTCTGGTTTTTACCCCCCAAAAAGCCACCTGCTCAGTAATGAGTAAATTGCAGTAAATTTCCCACTGGGCGTTCATGCTTTTTATAAACTCCTAAAATCTGCCTGTTGAGTGACATATGTGGCTGGTCTTCTTTAGCATGTTGCACTGCTTTGTTACACAGATCTATTTTTGTCTTTGTATTTGCAGGTATGCTACTTTTAAAACCTCTGTCAGCTTTTCAGATTTGCTAGCAGTAAGACAAAAAGATTTAATTCACTAGAACAATTTATTTATTTGTTTTAAAAAACCAAACTATTAAAAATGGGCATCTCTCTTATTAGTAATCTCTTATTATCCAGTTATAGTCTAGTTGGAGACAGCTAAATGTTCCCGGACTTAATTTATCTGTTTTGAGAAGGTTATTTTTTGATAAAATAGGGAGGAGGCAATAATTTTTAAAGGTGAATTGAAATTACACAGTTGAATTTGTAACAATTGCTGCACAATAGCTGTAACTGAGTGTCAAAACAAGCAAACAAGCGTGCTCTACATCAATAAAGAGAGAACCAAAAAAATGACACAATAACAGATGGACTGCTGTGAGTGAAAGAAGTGCACTTGTCAAAAGCAAGTAAAATATGCAGAGTTCAGTTTCTCTGAGGGAAGCACACCGTGCACCTGCCCAAACAAAATGTATGCCATGTCCAGCACATACATTGGCAGAAAAATCAGTTGTTCTGACTGTCCTGACATATTTGTCCTCGTAGTGAGTGGTTATTTTTGGTACAAAGGAAGAGAGTCATGCTTTGTGATTAGCTGAGAACAAGAGACTTCATGACTGTCAGTGGTTCACCTGTTTATTGGCTCTCAGTGGTGGCCAGGACGGTGTAAGGTACCACTGCATCATTGGATATTCTCCTGTCAGGGTCTCAGGAGGAGCTTGACCCTGGTTCTTTTGTTCATCAGTTTATTCTGAAAAGTATTTGAGCTAAAAAAGGTAACAGTCACCCTTCTGGTGGAGGGTCAGTGAGAGGAGAGGTCATGCACCTTGGCAGCAGGCTGCACAACCGGTTCAACACAGCCCTCCAGGGTTAGGGCCAGGACTACTCAGTCCTGCTTCTGTCTGCAAGAGGAAGACTGAATGCATCGTGGTGAATACATTTGTGTTGAGGAAAATGTGTGTTTTTGTCTCTTGTGGGTGCTTTTGAAAATTTCTGCCTCTGGGGAAAACGGTGGTATTTATTTGTTCAGTATTTTTATTGTAGTGTTCAACTTCACTGACTGGAAACCTGTGCTCCCTTGTTAGTTACTGACATTTTCATCTCTTCCTTGTGCTTTTTCATTTTTTTTTCCCTGTGGTGTTCTCTGTCTTTAAGTGTCTCCTTTTTCTCATTCTCATACTAGTTCTGTGCTAACAACTGTTCTGCCTCTCCCTATTTTATTTTTCTCATACATAATCTGGAATGAAAAAAATGTCATTGTTGGCTACTGAGGGGCAAGATATAATGCTCCAGATAGATTAGCAGGGGAGGAAAATGCTCTCATCTCTAAAGATTTGTTAAAAAAGAGTAGCCTAATGTTGCATTGTAAGGTCAGATGGGTAGAATCCAAACCTTAATTTATGGTAGATGTCAGATCTGACACAGAAGTGTATGAAGCATTTGAAACTTAAACCACCGCCTGGATATTTGATAAATTTAAAGCACAATAAATTACTAAGAGACAAAAAAGTGGTTGAGGACCAGCTCTAGATGTTTATTTCGTGTGTGCAGGGTACCTCAAGTATATAGACACTAATTTTTAGCTTTTCTTTACACTGGCTTTCTGGTAGTGCTCCTGCTTTTCTTACTGTGTGATATTTGCCCCCTCCAGGGTTGCTGAGGGCAACAACTTAGCATTTTCCCCATGGTCTGAAATTGAAGTCTGGCTCCGGTCTGTATGCATGCAGTTACTGTTCTGAATCTCACCTGTGATTTCATTTTGATTCTCTTTCCAATCAGAAAATGAAGAGTTTGGCCCAAAGACGCCAGTCTGCACCATCTTTGATCTTTGTCAAAGCACTCAGCAGATCTAGATCGGCCTCAAGGTGAGTCAGTGAGTTTTGCAGTTCCTCAGCCCAAAACTTGGAAGGTTTTTGAACTGTTTTCCACACCGGGTTGTTCAACACCATTCAGGCTCCTCGGTATCTGCACAGCTATAAAGCCTGCTGAAAGATGTGCCAGAACCAGCCCAGGCATGAGGCTGGTCTCCCAGAGGGGGTTTCCCCAGTGCTGCCACACTGAGCTGTTTATTTATACCTGACTGGGTGGGCAGGGCTGCTCTGCAGTTGGTAACTGGGCATGCGACATTTGGGCTGCTCAGCTGTGACCAGTTTGTGACTGTCTGTGATTGCCTGCTGCTGAGATGGGATGGGTAGAAGATGAATGCTTGTTGCCTTGGACACTTCCACAGTGTCAGGCATAACTCAGGGTTGTTCATTGTAGAATTGCACAATTTAATTTGAGCTAAGATTCTTCCATCATTGCCTGCTGCATGGTACAGGCTCTCCAGGGCTCTGGCAGCACCTGCTGGTTTAGTACAATGCTGTGGGCTAGGATCTGGTGATCACAGCCTTCCCCTGTCCAGTATTAGCACTTGAGGGGTTGAATAGGTGGGTGTTGAACATTCAGCCTTTTTTGTCCTTATCTTCTGCCAGAATCCTCCCTCTCTCCCTCCCTCCTCCAATGTAAAGCTGCCATAGAAATGGAAGTTTCTGTGCAGCTAGTCCCCTGTCCAGCCCCAGCCCTGACCTGCCATTTGAACTGCTCTGCATACATAACTTTTTTCTCCCTGCACTACAGTTCATTAGACTTTAAACTTAGAAAATGTGTTTATCGAGAAGGGAACCATCTGGTAGATTGTTAATGCTTCCAGCTGTGTATTGCTCTTTATGAAGAAATGTTATTGAGGGAAATAAAAGTATGGCTTTGTAAGGAATATTTTCTCCTACTCTGTGATGTGTTAAGCAATCAGTACGTGAGCTTTGGAAAATTTTTTGTCTTTGATCTAATTAATACCTGGTTTGACATCATGCAGAATTGCACAGTATTTCAGAAACCTGTGAAAGTATTCTGTGAAAAAATCAGAGTTGAAAAATAGGAAGGTCAAAATTCATTTACCTGCTGTTATTCAGACATGAATATTTTTCTTCAATTCTACTTTTTAAATTTACTTTGTTGCCTGCTCCATAAGTATCAGAAATAGCTGGAGAGACACTGGGTGTAATACACGCTACATTTTCACCTATATAAAAAAATTATGCTTTCTTAAGTGTCTTGTTTGTATAGCCCAGATCAGAATTATTTCCAAATCCAGTGTGTGAAAAGATTCTTTTGTAAGACCAGTTGGTAGAAACAGTGTGGTGGAGGGGAATGCATTTCCTTGTTCTGCAGTAAGCAGTGCTTATCCTATTCAACAAATGATGCTGTGTTTACAGCTGATGGATGCTGCCTCAGTCATGTCTGCCTGTGGCATGTAAAATTTAGCTGTTTCTGTGGTTTTGAACTGAAGTCTGTGGCCTTTGTGAGAGGTATTGGGTGAAGTCTGAGGACGCTGAAGTTGGAGTAGGTGATTTTGTAGCTTCAGTGTCTTTCAGTTTAGAGGTGGACGCTTTCAATGGTGTTTATTATTGGTGACAGGAGCAGCAGTTCTCACCTGTGCCTGACTTCCTTGTTTGGCTGTGCAAAGCACATTCCTCTTCATCACCAAACTGATGGATGAGTTTGATCTTTCCACTCAGTTTGTTGTGTAAATGCTTGACTCTGGTGAAGTGCTTTCTCTGAAGGAGAGCTGAAGAGCAACAAAACGACTTCTCATGTTTTCTAATCTCCTCCAAATGTTTTACCTCAGACCTGTCTCTGCTCTTAGTTCTTATAGACACAGCCAGTCTGCAAAATCTATTATTCTTCTCTGGCAGTGAACCTTAATACTGGGACTCCATAACACTTACTTGTTAATGGTTGATTAATGACTTGTAGATAATAAAGCTCCTATCTGAAGTTAACAAACATCTGTGAGGGATTTATTTGAATACTCTCACCTCAGCAGCTGGCTCACCTCAATATTTCTTGAAATTAATGAACAAGTGCAAAGTTTAAAAGGACAGGAAATACTTAGAAGCCGAGTCAGTTTGTGTTTTTATTCCACTTTATATGTCAGGTGTCCCTGGTTTATATACAGGGCACTTTCATAAAATGTAGTGGCATTTTGGACAGACTTACTCTGGGGCATTTTAAAGTTTATTAATGCCATTTATTCAAAGAAACCATTGTGACATCTAGAGATGGCTATTTAGCATTCAGAGGACTAAGGTTTTTGATGGTAGTGTTATCGTGGCTGTGATGACACAAGGATGTGAGCAAGACAAGATGATCTAGCTGGAAAAGCCAGATGCTTGTTTGTGCCACTGTCCTCTTACCCAGTCCTGAAAGAGAAGCAAGTCTGAAAGTCTTATGTGCTTAAGTTTGTCTTTTTCTCCAGTTGTATAATTTGGTTTAATGAACATTCAGCCTTTTTTTATAAATCTTGCCTTGACTTGTCAATCATATAGAAGGAGTTGCATGATATTTGCCTATAGAAGAATTTCTGGGATGGCTGCATGGCATGGTGGTGCACAGAAGGGAAACTGTGCTGTAATCCATGCCTCATTTGACTTGTACTTGCAGGCAGAAGAGGAGCACAGTAAATATTACAGATCCTATAGTGGAATTTGGGCCCTTACATCCAAGAGATGAAGATATGTACACCGCTATTGCCACATGTTCTTGTTTCTCTTCCTTTTTTCCCTGTACATCTTCTTTTTCATCACAAAAATGTGATGAATAGCCATGTAAAGACTCTTCACATCATCAGATGTACTCTCTGGAAGCAGTTTGAGCAAGGTTATTGTAGAAATACATTGGAAAAGTAAGCTTTTGGTATTTTTCTTGGCTCATATTCAGGTGCAGAAAAAATAAATTTGATTGATAACCCCATTAATGAGTATGAAATAGGCAAAGGATTTGGGTTAGTTATATTTGTCCTCAGACTTGTTCTGCAGTTGTAATTTTCCTCTTACTTTTTCTTGGTGTCTTTTAGTGAAACATGCACAATTTAATGATACAGTTCAATGCAATACAAATTACATGCTTGAAACAGAAATGTCTGAGGCCTGGATTTAAAGCATCAGCTATTGTCATCTCATATAATTGATACAGAATAATAAAGACTTGTTTCAAATCAAATTTTCAGCTTCTGTTCTGCTGTCCTTCAAAACAATTTTCACATGTGACAAAACCCAAGTTTTTGCTCTGCACTGGTGGTCTTATGCTTGCATCTCTAATATTTCACAGGAACAGCCAAACTCTGCTGCAGTCGCCAGCAGTTTCCCCTTTCCTATTGCACACCTCAACAGATCTTTGAAAGTGATATTTTTACATTCTGAAACCAAGTAATATAATTTCACAATTTCTGAGTCTGGAAGACCATTTATAGATCTGTGTCTCTACACATTAAAGGTGTTAAAATACTGAAAATGTAACAACTCTTTTTTACAGTATGAAGAGTGTTTATGATGTTATTTTGGTGTAAGCTGGAAGCACAGGCTTCTTTAAAAAAAAATCCCAAAGGATATTTTTTAGAAAGTTTTTTGGATAAATCCCTAAAGAACCTGAAAAGGAAGTTCCTAAAATGTTACCCCTACTCAATTTTGTTATGAAGCTTTTATGGTGAAGAAGTAAGCTTGAAGTTTGAAGGTAAAAACTGAAGATTTCACAAGTTTCCAAGGTGTTTTCTCGCCTTGTTTACATAGAAGTAATGTTATGCCATTCACAGAGAGGCTGTTTTTCCTTCTTCAGTGCACAGTGATTCTGGCATGTCATCTTCTAGGGGTCCTGTGCCAAAGGCTAAATATCCCAGATAACAAAGATCATATGTGTAATCTAGTAATACATTCCACTTGGCATGAGTCAAATACAGAGTGTTCCCAGAGTCTTGGACATTGTGTTTTCAGGGTTTTAGTTAGAAGATATGTGGATGATCCAAGCTATTTGATTAGAAGAAGACAAAAATAGAGACTTTTAATTGCCAGAAGGCCTTAACTGTCTCTCTTTCACAGGGAAGATGAGTAGTTGGCGTTTCAGGCAAAACCGATGGCAGGCAGGAAAGGGATAAAAGTCCATTAGTAAGTAACAGGTAACCAGTTTGTTAGATAGATATTTCAGCTGTGATAATTTTGCTCGTTCTGCAGTCATTTCCATGCTAGTGAATAACTTTGCTCCGCAGTGCAATCTCTGCGCGGTGCGTTTGGAGAGGGAGCGCAGGCCGCTGGGCCGCGCGTCGCGGCCGTTTTTACCTGCTGGCTCAGGACGAGGCCTCGATGCAGAGATGCTGCCTGCTCTCCTGTCTGCCTGTGCAGAGGTGCGTGTTGCTCTTGCACAGCCCCCAGGCACCCTGGCAGCATTTGCTGGAGCGTGGACTGTGGCTGGCACCTCCCTGGCAGAGAAGTGGCACCGTGGGCCTGGGCTGCCGTGGCCTGGCCGGCCGATGGTGCCGCTGCTGGTGGGGACGTGGCCTAGGGTCAGCCCTGGGGTGGCACAGGACAGGCAGTGCCTTGCCCGTGAGTTTGCAGGGCTGTGAGGGGCAAAGGCCACGCTCTGTGTGTGTGTGTGCTGGTTTCCAGGCGTGCCTTCCACACGTGGCCAGTGGGAATTTGCCTCCGCAGCGGCCACACGCTGCCAGCGGGGAGAGCGGGGCTCGGAACCAGAGCAAGAGTTGGCATGGACAGGTACCAGCCCGGCTGGCTCCAGCGAGTCATCAAAAAGGAGGGAAAATCCTATTCCTAGAGACTCAGTCACCAAAGCAAATGGGTCTAATTCTTAGATTTAGTTCAGTTCCAAAACACTTGATCAGGATTTTTTCTGAGACTTTTTATTTCATGAAAAGTTTTGATGCATTTTATGCTTAATCCCAATGGGCAGAAGTCTCTGTATGAGACCTGCCCTGGATTTCTCCCCTCAAGATGTCATATTTCCCTGGTAAGGTAAGCATACATGAAATTGTAGAAAAATAGTAATTTTTTTTAAATTGCTATTTTGTATTTAATGCTCTTACTTTTTAATGGAATTACACATTAAAGTAAAACAACTTGTGATGATATTCTACAAGTTGTCACTTTCTAGTATATCTAATTCATGTTTGATTAAAGCTAATTATAACACTGGAATATTGCTTCCTTAAACCATGTGTTTGAACACAAAAGTTACTTTTACATAATAATAGCTGAGGATAAAATTTTATTAACTGTTAACAAGGTGACCTTTCTGAGGCCTCAGATGGCCTTTTAACTCAGAGATTGGCAATCCTGCCCCTCTGCTGCGTTTTTTCTGTTGTGTTTTGTGTGAGTGCATATGTGCATATGTTTGTTTTTGAAAAAACCCTCAGTTCTTCATTTACGACCTACAAAACTGGCTTTTAGCGATGTTTGTACATCTGGAGACTGAAATGAGCTGCAGCTTTCAGAGATATTCTGCTTTTTTATTAAAAGGAAAGTACTAGAGGTAAGAAGAAGGAAGGCTTGGAAGCAGGATTTTGGAGGGATTGGAGTTTAAATAAGGGATTAATTTTACAATAAATGACTAATAGTTTAACACCAGTGCCTTAAGCCAATTCTCTTTTGGAGCAAGTTGTGGCAGTGTGAAGACAGTGAGGGGCAGTGCTCCTCAGGATGACTGCAGGGCTCTGCTTGTCCAGATGTCTCAGTGTCCACATGTGTTTTTGGCTGCTTGGCAGCCCATTTAAAGGACTTTTCGGATTAGGCCTTGAGGTCTGGCAGAATGCAGCTGTTGTCCAGCCATTGTGTATTGCTGATTTTAGACAACAAAATCACTGCCGAGTGACAGTCTGGCCAAGCAGTTTGGGGAGCAGCATACCTGAGGAAATCACAGACCAACTTGCTCAACTGCTTTGTGATCATTTATCTTGTGTAAACAAGTAGAAAGGTTCTAATGATGTGCAGGCTGATGTGCAGCCTCTGGTGCTCTCACCTCTGACAAGGGCCAGTGTTAAATACCCATAGGACTCTCCTCTGGGCCAATATGGTGTTGCTTCTCCTGGCTCAGCTGCATCCATGTGGTGCACAAAGCTGCTGGTGAGGAGTTTTAATCATGTTATGGGAGTAACAATCTGTATTTAGGTATTTTCTGTGCCCATTATTTAGTGTTTGAGTACTGGGGGCTAGATCCAATAAAGGTTAATAAGCCTCAAGGGCAAGATTCTAAACCCATGACAGAAAGACATCTCAGAGGCTTCCTGACCTCTCAAGTGCCTCTATCTTTAGACACTGTCCTGCTGACCAGAGAGCTTACCAAACACCTGAAGTTTTGCTTTTGCATATCCCAGTACAGCATTAACTGCTGGCAGCTCTGAACAGGTAATTATCATCATAAAGCATAGAGATGTAGGCGATCCTCTAACAGCTTTTTTCCCCAGCTCAGATCACTTGCAGAGTAGGAACCTCTGACTAATCTGCCCGAGTAGCTATGTGAAAAACTTGTTGAATAAATAGGTGGGCAGTTAGTTATGGTGCATGTGGCTCTGTGCATGTCCATAAGGAATCTAGGTCACTATGCTTGCCACACCTGGTAGCAGCAGGCATATCAAGTAATCTCTTCACTGTAATAGGATAATTCCTGTGCTGTTGTAGAAGTATCAAAATAAAATTCAAAGCCCTGGAGGCAAAGCAAAGCCAGATTTGTTCCTGTTACAGCTGGATAGGTGAAGTGACAGTCCTGTCTTCCATGTTGGCACCCATATTGGTCATCCCTCTTAGAAAAGTGGTTCGTACAAACTGAAGCCAGTACACCTCCCACTAGACCAGGTTGCTGAGGGCCCATCCAACCTGGCCTTGAACACTTCCAGGGATGGGGTATCTGCAACTTCTCTGGACAACCTGTGCCAGTGCCTAACCACTATCACAGTATAGAATTCTTCCTAAGATCTGATCTTAACCTACGTATCTGAATTGCTTCTTCAATAATGGGGAAATGAGAGCCTGAAGGGGAAGGACTATTGAGCAGTGAAACTTTGAGAGACCATGAGCAGCCCCACTGGTATTACCCAATAATTGTGTAGGGTGACTAACAGGCAGTAAACCCAGGCAGTCAACTAGAAAATGCCATTTCCCTTTTGGAAGGACATGGTCACACAAGTGCCTTACTTGTGCCCATCTACAGCCTGTGTGACATGTAGCTGGAGATGTTAGGGTCAGCAGAAACGTGTAGGCTCATTGACAGCCATTCATGATGGTCCAGAAGGGATTTCTAAACCAGTCTTTTTACCTCATGTGCACATCAGCTTTAAATTACCTGCTTCTGTAGAGATATGCAGAATGTCCTAGCTATTTTTGGTAACCCAGAATTCCTGGCTGTTACATGACCTGTGCTGAACTCTTGTAATACACTTTACAAGAAGATATATGAAAACCCCTTTTGAATAAAAGGTTAGTTTGATCCATGAGGTAAGTCAGAGTCAATGGAGTTAAGCCAGGCTTTTAAATGTTCCAGTTATGATTAAGTGGGATTAATTTTCCTGATTGCAATTAGTGCTTCTCAGAAAGTTAAGGTAGGACAAAACCTTATCCCTTCAGCTGACTAAAATAAGACTGGATCTCCTGGTGGGACTGAGATCCCAGAGTGGTCCTCTGTATTCCTCCTCCAAAAAGGTTGGAAGAAGTTTGGTTGGTAGTAGCAAAGGTAGCCTGTGTGTCCAGGATTCTTGTAGGCATTGAAAAGCTCCAAAAAGTCCAGATAGCCATGTTGCAGAACTGTAGAGCTGGGGTGTTAAGTTTTGGGCTTTTCTTTCCCCTCAGTTCATCCTACTTTTTTCCTATTTTTTTCTTTATTATCTTTCTCTTTTTCCCCCCAAAGGTCACTTTTCTTGGTGTGTTTTTTTTTTTAATTTATTTTGTCTGAACAATGAAACCTCTGTTTGGGTAGACAATGCTTGGAATGGCATTTCCCTGGTTCAACTGCAAAGAGAGAGTAACTCAAGGTGGTGCTGCTATGTCAGTTAGTAAAAATGAGTGGGAACTGCAGTGGTGAACAGAGGATTGATTCTTCCAAAGGCCAAAAAGCTTTTATTAACTTCTGTATGTGAATGTGTCCTCTCCCAAATGCCTCCCTTGCTCAGGGGTTGTCCTTAGACTAAAGCCCCTTGAACTTGCTGGCTGGCTGGAGAACACCCACACTGCAAGAGCTTTTCAATAGGATTTAAATAACTTGCCCTAAATCGTTTTCTGGTGGAAATAGGCAAAATTGGACCAAAACGTGTGGTGCTAATTTATACCAATAGAGAATTTTTGCCCTTGTGTTAAATTTTCAGAGTAAACACCTTGCAGCTGTTTGTTAAAATAAAACAAGAAGTCTTGGAAGCAAACCAAACCACAAGTGTGTTTCCTGTCTCCGGCCTCCACACTGTAGTGCATGCTTGCTCTGCAGAGAATATTGTCCTTTTGGCTATGTAAAAATTACTTAAGTGCAGCTTTGTTTACAGTTAAGTTGCCAACCTTCCATCCTACAAAGTGTGAGGATTTTGTTTTAATGATGCATTTTACCCTACAGCTATGTGATATTTTACTGCCAGACTACAGAAAAGTAGTGTTATGTGCCTCAGCACCTGAAACATTTGGTGCAAACCACCTTATTCTCTGTAATAATTTTTATTATGTTTGATGAGATTTTGACATCATGCAGAGATGATACAAGACAATTTTTAGAATCCTATTATAATTTAAGTTGGAATATTTTTCTCAATATATATTTCATAAAAATGCACACACTGAGTTTTAGAAGCAGAAAAGTGATATCCAATTTCATAAATACAAGTTTTAGCTTTGATTTCCGCCCTAAAATAAAAATTTGTCCATTTATCTGAGTAAAACTTGCTCCGAGTCTCAACTAATATATCTTCCTTCCATTGTCCAGGCTTGTGCTTGCCCTGACAGTGCTGGAGAATGGCTTGCAGCACATTTTGGTCTGAAGGCTTTGTGACCCTGTTGGGACTCACTGCTTGATCTTGGGTATAGTTTTCTGAGGTCCAGCTTGCCTGGGTAGAGTGAGGACAGCCCTGTGCTGGAGGCTGTGAACTGAGGCTGATACGTGCTCCAGAGGACTCCCTGTGGGATCCAGAGGCACAGTCCCTAAGGGAAAATGCAGGGGTGAGGAGTGACTGCCCTGTATTTGTTCAAATACATTGCTTGTGAAAATGAAGTTGAACCAGTAAAGAACACATGTAAAGTAGAATCAGGCATTGTAAAACTTAGCAACTAATGCTCTTTGAAAAACTAAGCAGATCTCACTTTTTTCATGGTACAAAAGCTACTGTATCCACAACGGTGATGGCCTAGGGGACTTTAAAGGAGT